CGCCACTGACTACTACTACTACTATTATTATTATTATTATTATTATTATTATTATTATTATTATTATTATTATTATTATTACTATTATATTACTACTACTACTATTATTATTATTATTTTTTTTAAATTTTATTTATCTATTTATTTATATTATTATTATTATCAATATATTAAGAATTTAAAAATGAAAAAAGAGACATACTCTTCAGAACTGATAAATCCTTCATCTGGCTTCAAGAGAACTTTTGGCTGGATGGTTCTAATGTTATCTAAATTGTTACAGAATATTCTAGCCAGCGATGCCTTGCGAATTTCAGTAACTTGGCCTAGAAGTTAAAAACAAATGCGATCAAAATCCTTTCTTCTTTTAAAGTAGGCCTACACAGTGTACTGTTACAGCCAACAATTATACTTAAATATTATAATACATTATGCCTTCATTTTAAGCATTTGGAAAATTACGATTAGATATAGAGAGCAATAACAAATTAAAAATAGGCTCCCAGCGGGAGCGTGTGTCTAGTGCTTGATGTGGGTTTGTTTGGCTACGGTACTTTTAATTCATATAACCCGTCCACGCTTCCTGTGTTGGCAATTCACATGAATGTATGAGTAACTCTACAGATTATTGATTTTTGGTCTTTTTATGACAGGTTCAAGCATGGCATCATATTTCGTAGGCTTACTTTCGGTAGACTGTTTTTCATCTTTAGTTTACGAGGCATAGGCAATGATATTGGGTTTACACTTACAACTTAAAACAGATATGATAGCACAATAGATACAAAACAGGTAGGCCTATGATTCAAGCTAGTACTATGTTTTTGATTACGCGATGCGTTTATTACCGATGAATCTTCGGACATACGGTACCTTGTGTAAATTCACCCTCGTATCCTTCATTTTCAAACCAAAATCGGTCTCCATGTTTGAACTTGCTGAATTGTACACCAATCACACATGCAAATGTAGGCCCTAAAATTGCCCCTGGTAGCGGATCCTCGGCCGATGCTCCTATAAACAGATCAATATCATGCACGCTCCTGGAAAATAGCATTTGGATTGGTCAATTTGAGTCACGTGATTCAACTCAAAGACAAAGTTTTTAAAGAATTGGTAAGTTAGGCTTAGACTACAATATATACCATAATTTGATACTATCGAACGATCTTTTACATTCGATAGCATTATTATGACTATAACATTATACATTTAGTAGGCTATTACATGCATATAACGGCATTTCAAACTTCCTATTGGCAACATTTGATAACAAAAACTAAACACTTACTTATATAAATCTTTAAACTTCCCAATGACGTCATCTGACATGAAAGGCTGAAGATCATCAAAGCTTTCAATTTCTACGGTAGAACATTTTTTGAGAACAGCGGTATAGCCTGGTATCCCGTGATCCCTACCTCGTTGAATATTTATTGCAACCAAGTCACTGCCAGGTCTGTATTAAGATACGATAATCATGATAAATACAAATGATGGTGATGATGACAATGATGATGACAATGATGACGATGATGATATGATGATGATAATGAGTTTATTCTGGGCTTAGCTCAATTTTTATTTTTGTAATTAATAATCTCAATTAATTTCATTATGTAATGTGATTGAATAAAATATACCAGAAGAAATCACATTGCGCAATTTAGAGGGGAGAGGCCGCCAACA